ACTTTCTGATCGCACCTCGTATGTTACGATGGATGGATAAATGAGACTCGCTGGAGATGTTGAACCTTCAGATTCTTCTACATATAGTATTAGTTAATGAAGCATTTTATGCAGAATAGCAAGTAATTTATTTGTAAAATTCGCGTAGGCTGCTGTAATTTGGAGCACACATCAAATTGCTATTTTTTCATTTCTGTAACAACCGTTCTGTTAAAGGTTTAATACAGACATTTGAGACCGACTTCAGCAGTCCCTACACTGTTGCCCACTCGAAGTGTTCTTTTTATTCTGTGACGACTCCGAATACCCTCTGCGCTACAAGCTTGTAACGTCCATCAGAAGACAGAATGATCACAGGTTTATTACATGTACCTGTGGGACGTTACAAGTTTTTACGAGTTGCGATAAAAGCTCGGACTGGTTATCTTTTGTGAATGACACATATGTATATATACTGACACAACAGGAATTGATGACATTTCTGATGACACTGGTAATGAAGACACATTACGCATAAAATTAGTAAAAACTTGGTGCTCTATATTCCTGGGCGGCGTTCTCTAATACTTTTTTAAATTTTATTTACTATGGTAGCCGCGCACCAAGCCCACGGAAGAACTTCATCCGCCTTATAACGAGGCCCTAAGTCACCAATACAGCGTTGCTAGCACTGCTACGCTTCAAGTTGCGAGCTGTCTTCATCCTCCTGGGTCCCACTGTTGATGATGCAGCGTTATACGAGACTGGTCCTACATATTTGAGCTAATGACATAATTTTTCTGGCAGTATTTATGAAGTGTGCACCGTAAGATTAAATTGGAAAAATGGGCATCAGAAAGGAAGCCTCTAAGGCAAGCATCTGAGCACTGAACACGGGCCAGCCAAATTAAGTTTAGAGAGAAGGCATCTCAAAGATGACATGAAAGTAGATGTAAAATGTCCTGTGGCTTTATGTGGACAAATTTTACGAGCTCCGTGATTATTACTGTTAGCCGTAGTACTCTGTTGTGTGGATTATATTATTGCCCATGTTATCAGAGAGACTTTTGCACGGTGTTATTGTTAACTGGCTCAGACTGAGTGAAATAATTTAGTTTTATTTTCAGGTGTTTGCCATTTTTATTGGCCAAGGAATTTTGTAACATTTTTTCTGTGAAAAACAGATATTAGCCTGGTGCACTTCATGATTCTAAAAGACCAGAGCTTCAAAATCGAAATTCATTCATACTGCTAGTAGAGAGATGTATAAAATGTGACCATACAAATTTCTACACAGTACTATATTATAATGCTTGATACTGAGTTTCACTTAAATTAGTTTGTTTTGTGTTGGTATCAGGGCTGTGATCATTCTTCTACGAATACTGCCGACGCTGATACTCCCAGCTTATCGCTCCAGGATGTTGATGGCTTGCGTGTTTGTAACTCGAGACACAGTACGTCATCCGAGACGCTTTGTGTTCGGAAAATTTGTTTGTAAACTGAATTGTTCATGATCCGAGGCGTTCATGAATCGAGGTTTGACTGTATAGCCTGATGATTCACGTGGTGGTGATGAAATCTCTTATGGTGCCATTTACCATTTTAGAAGGTTTACCATTATTAATACATATTGAGCTTTTATGAAGGAGTTGGAGTTTTTAGTACTGACTCCACAGGCGTGGTTGGTGGTAATGATGATACCCAGGTATATTGTAGATGCATGCAGCTAGCCTTCATGATACCAAAAAGGTTCTCTGGAACATCTACATGAACATAATTTTTACCAATTTTCTTTGCATAGTTGAATGTTTTACTAAACACTATTTTGTGCCGATGTTTTTAATATCGCATCCTTATTATATAATGCATGTTTATTTCAGTGGATTGTGTCTTCTGACAGTCCAGTGTTTGCACAGTGTGGATCTTTGGCAGCAGTTTCGTCGATCTTGAAACATGGAAAGCGGGAGGATTTACTTCCTCACAGTCAATCACTGTTAAAGTGGATCTTAGCAAGCAAGTACCGACAGAACCCGAATACACTTGTCAGGAAGTTTGGTGTTAAAGTCATACAAAGAATTGGTAAGATATATGATAAAAATAATTTAGTTATGTTTATGCTTTACAATTGCAAATTTATATGCATTAGACTGTTTTAAAATGTTCAGTATATCACATTTTTTAGACCACATTATGTACTAGGCAGTGCCATGTTGAATTCCTTAACTATCTGGTGAGCTATCATATTAAAGAGCAGACTTGAACAGTGTAAATTTTTCAAGGTCTGTTACTAGTACACTACAGGCAGTTATGGGCCACTGTCAGCGTCAATGAGTAAGCAACAAATACAAATCCATAATATCCATACCTGTCTATATACACACAAAAATAAATATGTTATCTCTGTCAGATTAGGGAAGGGTTTTTAGATGCTTAAGTAAGATGGTGGCTGCACCGAAAGAGTTTTGTTCGGACAAAAGTTTTGAAGTTAATGATAAAAAATTAAGTCAGTTTATTTCATGTATGAACATGTGTTGAATCATTCCCGTTGTATATTATGATCAGTTCCATTAAAGAATCAGTTAATTTTAAAATACGTAAGCCATGAAAAATCACAGTCGTTTTCTGCATATTTATGTTTCCTTGCTGTCACTGAATGATGCGTTAACAAAGTAGCTTCTGAGAAATCTTGATGTGAATCCACACGAGTAGCACTCTCAGACAACTGGTCAAAAATTTAATCCATGTTTTCAAGGGTAACTTCTCTTCTACTACTGTCAAGTTCTGGTAGTGTCATGCATTGTATACCCATAGTGTTTGAAGGAAATGTGTGTCCATTTAAGGTCACTACCTCCAGTGTGGATGAATGGCTTTTTAAATAATGTTCATTATTGAACTTTTTTGCACACGCATTATCAAATGAATCATCCTCAGTTAAAATTTGAGCAACTTACAGCGTCAGATTGAAAGAGACTTTGGACACAGTTAGGATGAAGAGTTTTCCCACTTCTGAACTAGCTTCTGGCTTTTCTTACGCGTATCACACTCGACAACAATGTTGAAAACTCGAAAACGTCGTTCGCAAAAGAACTCAGGAGTCCTCTGGTGTCGAGAGAAGGCTTTCTATTGGAACTTGACAGCGGGTTTAGCAGGAGTTCATATTTTAATATCTTTAAGGTGTGAATTAATTACGTTGAAAAGTAGAAACAAAAGGAACATAATTATATTGGTGTCTTGAGCTATGACATAATGTTTTCGTGTTGACAAATACTTCACCTTTTCCTATAAGAGTAAAATGTGGTTAGATACTCTTTGGTCTCCATACGATTTTCTTTGAAATGTTACTCATAATCACAGAAGAACATGATATTAACCTAAGAAAAGCAGATCAGGTATGTCGTAGAATTGTTATGTATGTAAGATGGTGGCTGCACCGAAAGAGTTTTGTTCGGACAAAAGTTTTGAAGTTAATGATAAAAAATTAAGTCAGTTTATTTCATGTATGAACATGTGTTGAATCATTCCCGTTGTATATTATGATCAGTTCCATTAAAGAATCAGTTAATTTTAAAATACGTAAGCCATGAAAAATCACAGTCGTTTTCTGCATATTTATGTTTCCTTGCTGTCACTGAATGATGCGTTAACAAAGTAGCTTCTGAGAAATCTTGATGTGAATCCACACGAGTAGCACTCTCAGACAACTGGTCAAAAATTTAATCCATGTTTTCAAGGGTAACTTCTCTTCTACTACTGTCAAGTTCTGGTAGTGTCATGCATTGTATACCCATAGTGTTTGAAGGAAATGTGTGTCCATTTAAGGTCACTACCTCCAGTGTGGATGAATGGCTTTTTAAATAATGTTCATTATTGAACTTTTTTGCACACGCATTATCAAATGAATCATCCTCAGTTAAAATTTGAGCAACTTACAGCGTCAGATTGAAAGAGACTTTGGACACAGTTAGGATGAAGAGTTTTCCCACTTCTGAACTAGCTTCTGGCTTTTCTTACGCGTATCACACTCGACAACAATGTTGAAAACTCGAAAACGTCGTTCGCAAAAGAACTCAGGAGTCCTCTGGTGTCGAGAGAAGGCTTTCTATTGGAACTTGACAGCGGGTTTAGCAGGAGTTCATATTTTAATATCTTTAAGGTGTGAATTAATTACGTTGAAAAGTAGAAACAAAAGGAACATAATTATATTGGTGTCTTGAGCTATGACATAATGTTTTCGTGTTGACAAATACTTCACCTTTTCCTATAAGAGTAAAATGTGGTTAGATACTCTTTGGTCTCCATACGATTTTCTTTGAAATGTTACTCATAATCACAGAAGAACATGATATTAACCTAAGAAAAGCAGATCAGGTATGTCGTAGAATTGTTATGTATGTGTTTAGGCAGCTCATTCTTTGAGTATTCTGAAGGCTAAAATGATCTTCATCTGCGCAGTTTGTAACCGTAAGACTAGTCTCGGTATTCCTTTTATATTAGGTAGTGGCAACAGAATTTTGTCTTTCATTATAATTTGTCAAAGGTTAAAGTGTTCAGTGTAGAAGGGTAGCTAAAGAAGTTAACAGGTTCATAGCATTTAATTAATAACATCATCGCCGGTAAGTATTGTTTGTACATGAACGAATTTTGTCTATGAAGTATAAAAACTTTTTAACTCCAGGCTGTTGTTAACCATCATCGTTACATTGTATCACAGTATGTCTGTTAGTAATTCCACGTTTGGTTTGATATAGACACAACCACATTTTCCCACACACTGCCATTGTCATGTAACTTCAAACTAAATTTTTTGTTTCTTTCCTCTTCCACTATCTTGATAGAAAAATTGAAAGTAGCAAAACTATGGTATATTCAAGAGACAATGTGATTTAACAAAGTTGATTGCTGATTTCAGTAATGCCAGTAATCTTAAAAAATTGTAGTACAAAGCTAGGCATAGGCTATTCTGGCATAGAAACTGATCCGTCAGTCCGTTGGGAAGAAAAGTGTCAGAACTTGATCTATTTCACCCTCTCCATCCATGTGTTCAGTAGTCTCTGGAAGTTTGCAAAACATATAGTGCATGCTAGCGATGTGACTGGCTCCCACAGGATTTCCATCATTTGCATATTATTTCTGTCAACTGTTATACCAGTTTGTTCACGTGGGCTCCCAAGTGTCCTGTTGTTATCGACATGTGAGTTATCAGTTTTGGGAAATGTACTAACAAAGAAGAGAAAACATTATGAACAATAAATTCTTTATATGTTTTATACTCATTTGAAAACTGATGTCATGTCTTAAAATAACAAAGTTCTTGGACATTATCCATCATTCCTAAATGAATTAATGTTCTCTGTTTAAAAGACTGCAGTCTGTCTCTGACCTTAGGTATATTCTGGGTTGTTGCACTGTTTAGTCTGGTAGATGTTTACAGATGTTTCAAAGTTGATAGATCTGTTGCCTCCCTGAGTAACTCATTCTGTCTTCTTTTCCAGAAGGAACCTAGAATATCACAGTAACGAACTGATGCAGAAAGGCTGGCGTTGGCTCACAACCTATTTACTTGATTGCCCACTGTATGTGTGGGCTACTTGTGAAATCATTATTTCCAAAGGTAACTCTTAGCTTCATTCCCACATTTATGTGTCCAGTAATACAAATTTTCAGTGAGAATATTTTACTGCAGTAGTTACAATATTTATAATCACCATAGTGAATATATAATAATAGTAAGACCATGCAGTTTGGTTTTTATCTCAGTATTAGGTGAACATATACTTTCAGTTTGAAAGTAAAAAATGTAATGGGCTAAGAGTAAACAGATACATTTCTTTGTAATATTTTTATAGATGTACTTTCTGTTGGGATTCACCATTATGAGTTGAGTTCTGTTGTCATAGAAGTAGCAGTTTTATTTTGAAACTAAAAGGAATGTGTTATTCTAATGCCACTTTTTAAAGGACATGGACAATGTGGAATGTTTATGTGCACCACTAATTTTATCAGCAGTTATTGGCCACCTATCGGTGATCTGCTTCTAGTTGTTTTATCTCAGTGTTTCCTTACAGTCATAGGGAATGTAGAACTGCCATTTAGCATTGTGCCCTTGCAGTGGCGGAACTGTGAGTTCACAAACACAGCACATTTTTGTATGGAAGATAGGTCTTGTCATTTTGCTTCCAGTATCTCGCGCCATCTTTAAAGCCGCTTCCGCTGTTATACTGTACACTGTACTATAACACACCACAGCATATCTCACCACACCATACTAAACCATACATAATATCATACCATGCCAACTGTTAGACATTTGGTTGAACTGTAGAATGTACATGTTTAAGGGAAACGAGAATAAAGGACCACCTACTATATATGGGTGGAGCCAGGATAGCTGAGTCAGTATAGTGACTAGCTACGGGCTGGACGACTGGGGTTTGATTCCTGACGAGGGCAGAGGATTTTTCCTCTAGCCTCTGCAGCCAGACCAGCTCTTAGGCCAACCCAGCCTCCTATATCCAGTGGGTACCGGGATCCTTTCTTGGGGGTAAAGCGCGGCCGGGGCGTGATGCTGACCACTCACCTCCATCTAGTGCCGAGGTCAAGAATGAGTGGGAACTATACCTACATGGCGTATACCAGGATGGTTTTATTTACTTGAAGATGAACTGCATGATTTGAGATAATGAGGTTTTCTTTTCTTAACCCTTTCCCTGCCAACAAAATGACTAAGCCGAACAGACAGTTTTGCTATGTCTGTCATGGTCAGATGTGACCATTGTTTTTAGGTCCGGTTTCTTTTGAGTGTTTTTATATATTTATGTAACATAATGGAGGAAATTTTGTTTTGTGTTATGAAAAAATAATTGTCCAATAGTTAGATATGTTTTTTCTCCATGTCATCTTTCCTGTCATTTGTTTTTGGTCCACCAGGCCTTATGGTTTCTCAGTAAATCGAAATAATATATATATCTTTTCTTTGACCTTAAGCAATTCTTATACTGGATCTTTCCATGGCTGTTGTTCATTTCCAACGCAGTTTGGTTACTGCCAAATCTTGCCATTAGGCTTGGCAGCATGAGTGTCATTCATTACCTCTCTGTGCTGTCTTGCCTTCATTTAGATCTTATACCCCTTGATATTAAATTGAAAGTTATTAAATTTTAAAATACTATTTTAATTTACAATTATTATGAAGTTCCTTGATGATTACTAACTTCTAATTGTAATCCAGTCTTCGTTTAGTATGATACGTTCAGGAAACATCTTACATTCTTATATTACTGTTGTGTGCCTTTTCTGTAGTTCAGTATGTTCTGTTTTATTTCTTACCTAATTAACAGTATCAGGTTCTTCCTTTGAATATACCCTAAATATTTTTTGCACTCAGTTACATTTCTCTTCTGTCTGTATCATATTGATTAGGTTAGCATAGCAGTTACTGTGTAGACTTATCGTATATCACCCAGACTAGCAGCTATCATGATTATCTCTGGGCAAATATCTTTATATAGCTGACAACTGCCTCCTTCCAAAACCTTTTTGAATGTCAATAGACATCATGAAACTCATTTCAGATGTCATTTTCAAATAATTCATCATACTCACTTTCTTCATTGTACAATTTAAAATTAATGTGTATTAAACTAACTTGTTTAGTGGTTGGACGTCACTGTTTGATTCTCCTACAGCAAGTGTTTGTGTTTTTTGTCTTGTATAATATCTTGTCTATGCTGATGGTCACCCTCAGTGGACTAGTGGTTAGCATGCTTGCCACTGGACCCAAGGTTTGCGGGTTCAAACCCAGCCGAAGTCGATGGATTTTTAAGGGTGATAAAAATCTGAAGCACAACTTCCTTCAGAGGGGAAGTAAAGCTGGCGGTCCCATGTTGTAGATTTACAACATGTAAAAGAACCTTACGGGCATGAACAAGATCTTTTGTAAGCAAAATTCAGTGGCCATTTCTCAACCAAGTTTCTCCTGATTCACTACTAGATGTCTCTAGCAGACAAATCAGGATTGAGTAGAACTTATGTAGAGGCAGTGGACTTGTCACTCACTACTCACAAATGCACACACACGCACTTATCCTTACACAGTTTCTAGGTCTCTGTCTCTACATGTGATACACACACACACTCTTCTCTCACCCATTGTCCTTCAAGCCTTCCTATTCTCTAAGCTTGGCGCTTTCCATTCACACACACATCCCTTGGCCTTAGCATCCCTACTGGACATATGCTGGCTCCTCAGCTGCCACAGTCCATGAACCCAGTGCTCTCCACGCATAGCCGATCCTCTCTCAGCACCACACCAGACCGCTCAAAGGCTCCGCACTTATACTTACTCTATTATTCCCCACTCTTCCACCATAGACCCCGCACAAGACTCTCACCAGACTTCACACAAGACCCGAGGAGGCGACTCTTGTAGCTGTCAGCGGAATGTTCCAGGAGCAAGGATCTAGAATATTCACCTACTCGAAGGTTCTGTTAAGGAGGGGAATACACAATCTGGCAAGTTCCGCGGCTGTCACACCTACAGCTTGCGTCCACTGGATAGAGAGGGAAGTTAGGCAGACCCTCCCCCCGGTGAGAGCCAACAGCTCTTTGAGCGTCACGCCACAGTAGAATATACATTTGTACATACACACAAACAGAAAAAAAACATAAATAATTTGGTTAAAAGGAGGTTTACCTTCCTGTCATCCTTTATAATGGGAAAAGTTGATGGTGTGTAAACCTCATCATTTCTCACGCCAACGGTATCTTCTTCACTCAGAACATCCGCATCATTTTCTGCCTTGATTTTATCAATTTTCTGCTATAAAATTAAGAGTTAAACATAATTCCTTGAGATGATATGCATTAAATGCAGGTATAAATTGGATGAGAATCTACAATACCATATTCTGAAATAGATTATGGGGTGCCATCTAGCTAATACTGAGTATTTTCAGGATAAAATTGTGTCTCACATATCTTTTTCACAATTTTTTATTGAGAAGATAAGTGACTGCTGTCTTTGTTTCTATACACACAGACACTCTCCCAGGTCCATTTCAGAGATGGAAATATTTCTTCAGCTCTGTGCAATATAATTTTTGGCACTCGTGTTGCAAGAGACTGCAGAATTTTTTTAAGGTATGAAACTTGTTCATCACATATCATGATTGGAGGATTGTATAGGAAAATAGCTTGAAAGAATCATACTGATATTGATTCATACTTCGGAATAGATGCGGCCAAATCATTAGTCTCCGTTCGCAGTCAGCGATAATATTTCTGCATTCAAGTGCACAGAGAAACGATCTAAACTTGACCGTGGGTTTTCGCTGCTAGAGTTGAATGTTTCATGTTAACCAACATTTCGGCCAACATTTTGCCTTTTCGAGATGGAAATGTGGTATTTAGTTTACAAGAGCAGTTTTCGTTTTGGAGGTGGTGTCTTTTCGACTATTACACATTGTGATGGAAACAATGCATAGCCAGTCAGGACGCTACATGTCTGAGCGCATAATTTTGAGTTGTCCAGTTTTTAATGATAATAGGCTCAGTGTCACCAACAGCCAATGTCCTTTATCAGGAGTCACGTTAGTCGTAGATAGCCGATACCTCGGATCTCTTTCGCAAATATATGTGATCCTATGTCAAATTAGCGGTAAAGGAGAAAAAAGATTACTCGTACCACGGTCAGCGAAGCTTGGTGATATATAGCGCGATTTCTAGTAACTGTGAGAAGGACATTGAGATTGAACCAATAAAACGCGCCTTTGTCTTTCTTTGTTATTGTGGGAACCCGTTAAAGGAAGTGAGGGAAGCTAACATTCATTTGAGGTATAGCGTCGCATAGCCGAGTAGAAATTGATCATCGTTTCAGAGGTGATAAGTGACGATAAATAGCATTGTGTTTTATAGTGTTATTTCATGTTAAACAAGTTCAGGCCTATGAAGGTTCAATGGAACGTAATGAAAGGCTGTTGTATTGCAAAAGCAAATGGCACGGAGTTATTATTATCATTATTAATAGAGATGATATAAAAATTGAATCATGAAACATTAAAAGAATTCTGTAACAGGAGTGTTGTTATTGAAATTTCTTGTGTTTGTGTTAAGGCCTTTGAATGTATTAATTATAACATACAAATTTCTGAATTAGTCTGTTATATTCTTATAGTAACTTTCATAATATGCATTCTTAACTTTGGTACCCCTTTCTGATATATTTAATACTACCTAACATCATCTGTTACCTTCCAGGACAAGGACAGATATTCCAAATACATACAGGTGTTATTTTTGTGAAGCTGAATTCTTACAAGCCACCTTACCCACAAACCATGATGTGTGATGAACAAGTTTCATACCTTAAAAAAATTCAGCAGTCTTTTGGAACACGAGTGCCGAAAATTATATTGCGCAGAGCTGAAGAAATTTTTCTATCTCTGAACGGGACGTTGGTGAGTGTTTGTGTGTATAGAAACAAAGATCACTATTAGTTATAAAAGTCATAATGTGGTTGAAAAAGATTCCCATCTTGTGTTCATTATGTTGTGGCTACCATGAGAATGACCTCTACACAGTTAACAGTGTGGAATTAGCATTTATAATTGAAATAAAGTGTGTATGTATCTATGAGGATTGAATATAAGATGCTTGTAAGAGGCTATGTACCTTGGCATCACTACTTTAAGAATCCAGTAAATTTCTTGTTTCATCAACACAAGGTTAATGAATTTTCTTGTCACACAAAACAGTACAGCAGTCACTTATCTTCTGAAAAAAAATTTGTGAAAAAGATATGTGAGACACAATTTTATCCTGAAAATACTCAGTATTATCTAGACGGCACCCCATAATCGATTTCAGAATATGGTATTGTAAATTCTCATCCAGTTTATACCTGCATTTAATGCATATCATCTCAAGGAATTATGTTTAACTCTTAATTTTACAGCAGAAAATTGATAAAATCAAGGTAGAAAATGATGTGGATGTTCTGAGTGAAGAAGATACCGTTGGCATGAGAAATGATAAGGTTTACACACCATCAACTTTTCCCATAATAAAGGATGAAAGGAAGGTAAACCTCCTTTTAACTAAATTATTTATGGTTTTTATCTGTTTGTGT